AATTACAGAGAGAGTGAGAAAGGGTTGATATATAGGATAATAGCAAATAGTTGAACATATATATAGAAGTAATAATTACCATACATATATATATATATATATGAGGGGGAGAGAGAAAATTAAAGGAATTGGTTTATGCAACTGTGGAGGCTGGCAAATCAGAAGGCTGCAGAGCTGGTTGCAAGTTAGAAATTCAGGCAAAAATGATATGGCACTCTTGATTCTGATGACTGCAAACTCAAACAGATTCCTGTGTTTCAGTCTGAAGGCAGAATTCCTGAAGGCCTTCAACTGACTAAATGATTCTTACCCATATTATGGAGGGTAAATCTTATTTAATCAAAGTCTACTCATAAAAAAATGTTAAATCACATCCAAAAAATACCTTCACAGCAACATCTAGACTGTTTGGCCAAATATTTGGGCACCATAGTCTAGCCAGCTTGACACAGAATATTAACCATCATAAAAAGTAAACTTACCAAGAGCTAATAAAAGCAAAAGAATTCCAAAGTGGGTCAGATCAGAGTGAAAATGCTTAGGTATCTGAGGAAGGCTGGCAGGTTCTGTGTGTGGGTGGAAGACGCAGCAAACTTGCAGATAACTTGAGTCTGCTGGAGCATGAAAATGATGTCCTGAGCTAAGCCTGCAGTAAAGGCTGTAGGTAACTAAGAGCAGTCAGAGGCACGCAAAGATGTCAGAACTGGGACTACTTAGGCTCCATTACACCAATGCACTTCATCACATTGATTTTCATTGTTTGTTCTTATTCCCTTGTTTACTTATTAACTACATGCTGCTCCACTCAGAGCATTTTGACTTGCTTGAATGTTTAATTAGCTTGTTGGTGTTGGTTTTGCTTGTCAGCTACACTATTCATTTCTGGAGTGACACTTCATACTAAGGCAGTTGTTGCTTGCTGACTGAACAGGCCAGTTGTAACTTCTCTGCACTTTATAGTGATGTCAGTTTTCTTCAACTCAAGAAGGGCAGTTGGCACAAGTAAGTTGCTTTCATTTCACTCCAGTTTTTTTTTTTTTTTTTTTCCAGCCAGGTACTCAGCAAACTTTGTATATTATTTACTCTTCAATCCTGACTTAATTATCCTGTGGGCCCACCAGGTATGCACATGTTATCTAAGTGAATTATTTTGTTCACAGGCTCCACTATCTGATTTTTACATTCCCATTTAGCATTTGCAGAAATTCAATTTTCTCCAAATTTGGTTACTTTGGATAATACCATTACTACTGTGGTTTTTAATCTATTTGAAAGTCTTTGGGGTCTGTAAAAGGCACAGGGCTTTAGAAAAGTAATTCTCACATATTGGTGTGTGTAACTTAGAGGCCATGGAAAACGTAGATGACTGGCTCCACTTCAAAAAAAATTATGATTTACTATATATGAGGTGGGGCACAAATATGCATTTTAAACAAACTAAGCTTTCTCTCTTGTATGATTAATAGTGATTTGTTAATAATTCATTATGATATATACTTTAAAATGGAAACTTTAAGAATAATTTTAGATTTATGAAATAGTTGCAAAGGCTGTACAGAGTATTTTCATGCACATTTCACTCAGCTTCCCCTAAAATTAATATCTTACATTGTACATGCATTTAAACTAAGAAATTAACAATGACATATTACTATTAACTAAACTTCAGACTTAATTCAGATTTGTAGATTTTTTATGCCCATGTCCTTTTTCAGTGCCAAAATCCAACCCAGCCTACCACATTGAATTTAGTTGTCATGTCTCCTTAATCTAAAGTCTATGACAGGTTCTCAGCTTTTACTTGTTTCCCATGACCTTTATGGTTTGAAGGAGTACTTGATAATTTTGTAGCATGTCCCTGGACTTGGGTTTGTTAGATGTTTTCCGCTCATTAGTGTAGAATCTTGCATTTTAGGGAAGAATACTACAGAGGTGAAGTGTCTTTCTCATTACATCCTACCAGAGGAGTGCATGATTCCAACGTGACTTCTCACTGCTGATATTAACATTTATCTCTTAGTTAATGAGAGGACTACCAGGTTTCTCCACTAAAAGGTCACTATTTTTCCCTTTCCATATTCTACTTTTTAGAATCCAGCCCACACTCTGTGGAGGGCATTTAAATTCCACCTCCTGGAAGGAGGAGTATCTATGTACATCATCTGAAAATCTTTGTAAAATTATTTGTACCTTTTTGCTCAATTATTTATTTGTACAATTATTTATATCAGTATGGACTCATGGATATTTTATTTTATATTGTGTTATAATTTTTAAATTTTAATTCATTTTGTTACATAAATTGTTTTAACTTTGGCCACTGAGTGCTCTTTCAGTTTGGCTCCTGTGTCCTTCTAATCTGCTTTTATTCTTTTGTTTTCTGGGAACATCCTTATTTTCTGGCATTATATACTACTCCAGGCTCATCTCATATTTTCACTGCCCCAGGCGTAGAATGATTCCTTTCTCCAAAGATCTCTCTGTGTTTTGCTCTTGTTGTTTTGGAGAATGGTATTTAGAAGCCAAGATCTGGGCACTGGATGTACTTGTTGTTACTTGGGTGTCATTTTTTTCTAGTTTCTCAGCAGAGACAGAGCTATAAAATATATGCATGTATACTAATCTATATGCACACACAACTATAATTATTTCTTTAGCTATATATCTCTATACATGCTTAACTGTGTATTATACATTTTTTGTGTTTTCTTTATAAGTTTTAAGAATTATTTATGTATACTAGATATGAGTCCTTTGTATAATATTCTACTTTGAAAAGTGAATTAAATGAAGTGGCTTTAAGGAATAAAAACTGTTTCAATGAACAGTCACATGAAAAAATTTTGTATACACCCAATTGAACTTTAGGTGATTCAATATGTGTTTTTCCCTGGGATTATTTGGAATATAGAAGAATGTTTTTCAAACCCTCATGCATTTTAGGTAAGTGAGTACTCATATGAGCTTGCTAGTTACAATATTGTTAAAGAGAACTGTTGAATCATTGACTCTTGAATTTAACATACATTCCATGGAATTTTTATAAGTAAGAAAGTTAAAAGTAAATATGTATCAAATTTGATCTTACCAATTTCACATTATGAAATCTCCTAAATATCTTGAGACTTTAACATAGATTCTTATAATCAATAAATATGTGTGATATGTAAATATATAATGTTTGCTTCTCCCTTAGACACTGAATATTTTTATTTTCAAATTGTAGTAATACTATATGACAATAATTCACTCAATGCATTTTCTGTTCCAGACACTATACAAAATAATGTTATATAGATTATCTTGATTTACACATAATCCATTTCTTTTATTTAATGAAAAATCTGAGAGGAATATATATTGTGTCTATTTTGCAGAGGAGGAGCCAAAGGGAAGAGAGGCATTGATCATGCCTCATTTACAAAGAGGAACGACGATATACTTGCTAGTAATTGTAGAAAAGATTGTTCAGCTGCACATAAGAAGGGAAATAGAAAACCTTCTTTTCAAAAATCAGTAAGAATGTACAGAAAAAAATGTGATGAGAATATGATATGCTTAAGGAATAATGCAGACTGTATTTGTCTATAATTAAATTTTTTTATAAAAATACTTTTCATAGTATTGTTTTAAGCACTGTAAGAGAGATAAAAGTTTAGCTGATATTATTCAAAGGAAAATCAAGGATTACAACTGGACTGGGGGGTATAATGATATTCAGATTGGAAAGAAAGAAGGGAAACTGTCTTTATTCACAGATGACATTATCATATATATATAGAAAATTCAGTGAAATCTACAAAAATGCTCATGAACATAATGAGTGAATTTACCAATGTTGTATGATACAAATGGATATACAAATATATATATATATATATATATATATAATATGTATATATATGCTAACAACAAAAAATTGGAAATTGCAATTAAAAAACAATACTACATATAGTATCAAAAACAATATTTAGGAAAAATCTGGAATGTAAGATGTGAAAGAAACACTAAAAATACAAAATATTTCTGAGAAAATGAAAATCACATCAACAAATACAAAGATGTACCTTCCTCAATGGTCAGATGATTTCCTGTTGTTAACATGCCAGCTGTCGTCAAATTGATCTATAGATTCAACAGAATCCTAATCAAAATCCGAACAGGACTTTTTTTAGACATTGACAAACTGACTTTAAAATTTCTATAGAAATTCAAAGGACCTAGAAGAATCAACTTGATAAAAGAACACTGTTAAAGAACTAGTACAGTGTAATTTCTAGATTTATTATAAAACTAATCAACAGAGTGTGAAATTTGTGTGAGAGAAAAATCAATGGAAGAGAAAACAGTGCCCAGAAACTGACCTTGGAAAAAACAGACAACTGGTATTCTACCAATTTCCAAACGTAATTCAGTGGAAAGATAGGTTATTGAAAAATAGTTCTGAGATTATCAGATATATATAAACAATAGGTATATTTTATAATATAAACTTTGATCTATATCTTGTACTGTTTACAAAAATTAAAACAGATTTAAATTAAAAAAAACTTTGTGACCTAGGGATAGGCAAAATTTTCATAGATACATCAAAAGAAGTACCATCTGTAAAAGAACATATCGATAAATTGGACTTCATCAAATTAAAAAACTTCTCTTTGACATTGTTAAGACAATGAACGGGAAAAGGTAAGAATTAAGTGAAAAATTTGCAAATCATATATCTGATAAGCAACTTACATCTGGAACACAGCAAGGATTCTCAAAACTATGATACCTAGCAACACAATTTAAAAATGGGAAAAAAATGAACAGCAAATATAGAGATGTTCAATACCAGCAGTCATTAGGAAATGCAAATGAAACCCAGAATGAGATTCCACCACAAACCTGCTAGAATCCGGGCTGCGCATGTGACGTCAGAGCTGCCCCGCCTCCCGGAAGAACCTGGGTTGTGCGTGGCTCGCGGTCTCCTAGCGACCAGAGCCGCAGGGATCGGAAACCGCTGAAACAGGAGAGGTGGCAGCCCAGCGAGGACCACCATGGGGGACCAGAGGCCGCAGGACCGGCCGAGGTCCCCGGGCATGGACTCCACTCCCCGGTATTGTGACAAACGGCCTTCCAAGTGCTTCGCGGAGCGCAAGCACAGGCGCATGAAGTTGCCACCCATAGACACCGAGAACTGGATATTTGTGAAGGAGGGCATGGACGACTTCCGCTACGGCTGTCCGTCTCCCAAGGATATGCTCATTTGTCGCCGGGACGACTTCTTACTCCCCAAAATCTCTAGCAGAAGTCCGCATGCTGACCCACAAAGCAGGCAGAAAAAGCTACTCAAGAAAGCGGCCCTATTTTCCAAACTGTCGCCAGCCCAGCTAGCACGGAAGGCGTTCGTAGAGGAAGTGGAAGGCCAGCTGATAGCTGAGCATTCCTTGGCCATGGACCCCGATGTGGCAGAAGATATGCCTCCAGATCTCCTACGACAGGTGCTGAAAGTGCTGGATCCTGAGAGGAAGCTGGAGGGCGCATGGGCTTGTTGTGAGGGCTCGAAGAAGGCAACCGAGGAACCCACCGAGTCTGGTAAATACCCTTGTGGGGAGATCTCCCCATGGCCTTCCGAGACTCCGCTGCTCCATCTCTGTCCAGAGCCTCTCAAGATTCTGCTGTCCATTCTCCTACCAGAGCCTCCTGAGACTGGAGTATCCCATCTCTGCCGAGAGCCTCCGAAGACTCGCACATCTCATCTCTGCCTGGAGCCTCTGGGGGCTGCAGTTTCCCATCTCTACCCGGAACCTCCTGAGATTAGAGTGTCTCAAGTCTCCCCAGAGCCTCCCAAGACTCCAGTGTCTCATATCTACCCAGAGCCTCTCAAGACTAGAGTGTCCCATCTCCGCTCAGAGCCTCCCAAAGCTTGTCAGGTGTGCAGTCTCCACCCAGAGCCTCCAGAGGCTGGAGTGTGTCGTTTCCATCTGGAGCCTCCCAAGACTCGTCGGATGTCCAGTCTCTACCCAGAGCCTCTCGAGACTGGAGTGTCC